AGAATGAAAAAACACAAGAAGTCGAAATCCGGAGTCGCCTGCTGGACGCGGGGCTCATTTCCACAAATTGATGGCCTCGTGACGCCTCTAAATGCCACAACAAAGTCCCCTTCCTGATCCTTACAACCTTTTCATGTACACTTTGTTTTTTGACTTGTTATTCCTGTCGCCAAGGAGCTATTTTGACGACTGGATATCGGCTATTTTATTTCCAATGCAGCAAAAGGGGCAAGAAATGAATAATCACAGTCCCGGTTACTACCACGGAATTGGCAAGCCCTTCATGATGCACGAACAAACTTCTCAAAGGTGACATGGTAAAATTCAGACGCTAGCGATTATGTCTGAAGTCTGAGTTGCAACTTCTTTAATAAAGGGTCCGAAATATTACCCAAAAGAAAATGCAAAATTGCAGACATTTTTTTCTTTTATCAAAGGTATACGAAGCCGGATTTCTCGCATGCAACAGCCGTCGGCAGTCCGACTTCAATCAGGGGCAGATGAGGGCAATAGTTTGGGCTGCGAATCCAGCCAGGCAAGGTGTATGTACGTGTACGTGCATCCGCATTTACCAGTGTTCATTTCAACTTCTTCAGCACACAAACCGAGGGTGGAACGCGACTCTATTTTTCAGGATCCATCCATCCTTTTCCTTAATCACTCCTTGTCTGCCCAAGATGGCGTCAAGGCCTCGGTGGCACGACCGATATCAGACACGCAGCACGGACAGGCAGCCTTTCTTTGCTTGCCAGCTCGCTCCGTGTACGTATTTTATATATTTTTTTTTACTGGCTATGCATTATGTTGGATTAAAAGTTTTCGCGGAAAAAACAAATTCGTCTGTTGCCAGCACGTTCGCAAAATAATTGCCGCCGAGTGTTTGAGGGGAACAAACAACGCCTCGTCGTTCGTGATTTCTACGCAGCGAAAGAAAAAAGAGGGTGCAGAGATTGTCTTTTCCAAAGATGAAGTCTTGGACCCTGTACATCGAAATTGTTACTAAAACGAGAACAGACTGAAGTTGTTACAAGTACAGCTGTATAAAAGTTCGAGGAAACAAGAGGGCACTCTTCATTTAAGCGTATCAGGCCAGGTCACTGGGCATGCGCATTGCGTTATCAGACACGAATGCGTGAGTGCGATTGGCCAACACCGTCACGTGCCACTATTCCCGCCCATTTTGCCGCGTGTTTAATAGCCACGTGGCACCACATGCTTTTTCTCCAACGTGAATCCAAACAACAAAATAGTACACCTGTAATTCAGGTGGTTGAATTTATTGAGAGTTGTTTATTGTCTCAAGGCTGCCATACAAAAGCCCCTGGTATGGATGCTGACTGTTTGGGGGTCGTCATATGCAACGAATGGGAGAAAAAACGTAGACGGTACGCTCAGGATTTGATATTCAAAAGTGAACGGGGCACAATTTTACCGTTTCCAGTTGTGGATGATAGACTGTAAGAATCAAAACGATGGTTATGTGCATAAAACAACCGCTGTCTGAAGCGGAGGTAATCGTACTAATATGATAATGAGCGCACGAAACATGCTAAGGGACAGAACTTCAAACGATCACAAAAGTTTGAGAATGAAAAGTATCCACTGTCCTGTTGAATTCATGGTACTCGCTAATTCCATTATTGTGCAGAATATTGAAGGTATTGATTCAGAGAGGGAATCGGTTACTTTCTACTTCTAAACATCTTTTCATCTTTGTTTCCGGGGAACGGATTTCACAGCCGACATTGTAAATCTCTCCCAAGAGCCAATATCACCGGCCCTTTCTCGACCGCGTGCACCGGGGAGAGAAATGAAGCCCCCGTCGCGTGAAAAATGATTCTTGCGAAGAAAAGCCGCGCAGAACGCGTTGACAACGAACGGGAAGAATCCACCGGGGGAGAAATCTCAGATTTCAAACCATTATCCGGTAAACAGCCCTTGAAATCTTACATTTTGTTTGGTCCCCTTTAATTAAGTTGGCCTTGTAGTCAAACTGGGGAAACGGAAGTTCGAGTCTGTCGGCACAAAAGAAAGTGAATTCAAGGAGCGTCTGTTGTCTGTTGATATTTATCAATTTGGCGCGATTGGCGCGACAGTTAACAAGGCCAAGGAGAATTGGATTCTGATTTATCTATTGGAGGAATGGCCCAGGGGTCATTTATCAGACACTGTTGCCATTAGTACGTGTTTATCTGTGAAATATCTACTGAAAGAGAGATTGAGTCGATGGAACCACAAGACACTGTTTGCGTCGAAAGCAAACATTACAAATTGATACCAGAAAGACACTTCTGTTCAAGTTTGATATCGTTGCAAGAAATCATCTACACAACCATCAACATACAGCGTCGCCGAAATTGTATTTGTCTTCTGTGATAACTGATCACAGATTTCCCTCTTTTTTCGCTGAATGCCGGTCCGCACTTTTCTGAGTAGGCCTATTGCTGAAATCTGAGTTTGTCTGACAAGTTATGTTGGAGTGCGGTTTTTCGTTATCTGTAGACCTAAATCCTTATTAGTTTAAGAAATGCGTAGGCGTTAATTTCCTGTGTCTCTTGGACAAAGTCTGGAATAAATTTTGCGTTTCTCTGATCTGACGAGTTATCATTGAAATCTGGAATGACACAGAACTTAATCGTTTTTACCCAAGTCTGCGTGGGCAAATTTCAGTGTTTTCGCGATAAAAGCATTATTCTTAGTAACCATAGGATGGTTGTAATGTGCCTCCATAATTTCCTCTTTGGTTTGTGCGTGTTTTTACCAGTTACCGACAAGAAAATACTTAAATGCACAGTTAAATTTTTGAAAATGATTTGATAACAAATGATTTTGCATTTCACTGTACAAAATGCACTTTTCTATTTCAATCTTCGGGTACTCATACCGGGCTGCGGTTTACCCAGTTATCCCTTTGGATGTCCCCTATAGAATTGACCTTCTCGCCGCCTCGCGAGGATTAGTCTTGACAGTTAACACCTGAAATCATCGTTTTGGGGGGTTGGCTGAAATACCACAAATTACTGCTAGACAAATAGCCAGCAGCAAGGTCCCAGGACCCTCGCTCGATCTCTCACGAAGCAGACGCAACGCGCAAAACTGTTTGGACACTGGATTTTGTTTGGTATAACTAAATGTTTAAGGCTACTGCCTCATCAGTGGATGACTTATGCGATTTTGTTTCTCTCGTTTGGGGCAAGTGATGAAAGATGTGGCGATAGCTTCTTCAGTCTTTCAGAAAGTTTCGTTAGCAGCCCCCCCCGCTAGCTTTAAAATAGAAACGCCCTTCCGGTCACTGTGAACTTTAATACTTTTGTTCAGGAAACACAAATCAAGCTTTCGCCATCCCACAAAAAAGTCGTGAGTCGATGGGGCCAAGTGATTTGTGTACTGCATCGATGTTCGGACTCTCTGTACAAAAGTCACACGGGCTTAAAATTTGAGTTGATTTACATTGATTGACTGCATTTTTGTGGAGTAAATCCGAATTATTTCATTCCTCTAATGGAGTGCAGACTGCATCCAGACAGCACAGGTGGTTTCTGCTGACCGGCCTCCAACAAATCATTCGATCCTACAGATTCAGACACAGTCAAAAGGTCCCCCACTGTGGCAGCAACGTGTTTTATATCATCAAATCCTACCCCCCAACTCACGGTGTCTATCCCGCCGGCTTTTTTTTTTATATTACCCCCTCCGAAAAAAACTATAACCCCATTGTCCTGTTAGTGTCAATCGTGACGAAGTTTGACTTTTACGGGTTAAGTTTCAGTGGAAGCCGCGCTTTGAGACTGGGGGCGTACCTCAAAGCCCACATCGCTAGTAGCCCTTGTACGGTAGCGATTGGGTTTCGCCCGGGCAGTGGTGGCTCGCCCACGGCACGGGGTAGTTTCGACAAAACCCATACAATCGCCGCAAGCAGGTGAGTGTTTCAAAGGGTAATGTATCGAGTTTTCTGGGGCCATTCAAGGCGCACTTCTCGAGCTTCTTTGTTCTTTGTAACCTCCAAGGGTATAAGTTTCTCCACGCGCATTACAGGACTCCAACGAACCGGAGAGTAATGTACCTCGTAGTAAATGGTTCGCCAGACCCGTGGCTGTTCTTAAATGACTGAAACGAATAAAATATCCACCCTTTTTGCCACTCGTTATGACAAAGTACGTCCGAATACACTGCACAATAAAGAACATTATATTCACTTGATAGGTCGCCATTGATGCACCTGCTTGCTCTCATTTTTTTCGTTAAAATGTATGAACAAACCGAAATATCTTTCACTCTAGACCTATAAAAGAAACAAGTGCAAAAGAGAAGCGGAAACGCACAAACCTCGGTAATTCTTTTGCATTGGTCTGCGCTGGTTTTTTGGCCCAATTATAGGAGTCAAATCACGTTACGTCGCTGTTTTGACAAGGGCCAGGACGGATCAAACACTGCTCTGCGTGTGCCTCGCATTTAGACTACAAAAATAGTTTTACCTCCACATGCAGAGATAACAGTGGTGGTACACAGAAGGAGCTCTGGAAACATCCAGTCAAATAAACGAGGTCTGCACATTAATACAAATACCTGGACATGACATTATTCATTTTTTTCAATACAAATTCGTACGCGCATAAGTACTTCACCTCTGGGGTCTGCATAATTATACTCTTGCTATATACCGGCTCCATGTATCTACGTACGCCCACAAAGCAATCCCTAGGGTCCACGGAGGCCTATCTCTTGACTTGTAGGCCTACGTACAACCAACATAGTACAGTGCATGGCCCATCTGTCTGAATGCCCAGCTTTATCCTCTTATGTCGAATTTGAAGGGAAGCTATATATAAGTGGGCTATATGTATAAAAAAGTAAAAAAATATTCAAACATGTTGACAAAACTATGGCTTTCCTGAGTAAAACCCAAAGGTATACGTCCTTCCCAGGTCTGCGGTGTTCCTGAATAGAGCTATGAACTCAAACATATTTCGAGAAAGGTTTAATAAAAAGAAGCGACATACCTCATAATACAAGAGATGGTTGCAGCTCATTGCGATCGAGTGGTATCTTCTCTTCATGGATTCTGTGGGTGGGATACATAAATAAATTTTGTAACATTTGCAGTGACTGCCTCGTCCCCCATGTCATCGCCAGTACGATCCCGCTGCCACTGTCTATGGTTCGTGTAAAACGCATTTCCAAGTCACAAAAATCTTCGGCGAAAGGGGCCGTGGGGCCGTACGGGGCAGGTAGGAAAAGCGCCACCAACGGTGGACATTGGCTCGCGGCGGTCGCGAACTCGCTACAATCCGGTTCGTAAGTGACTTCGTCACAAAGGCGGGCGCGCCACGATTCTCAGGCTCCAATTGGACAATCGCAGAAGTTGCACGCTAACTTCCGGTTCCATGGTCCCACATAACGGCGATCAATGCGTGTAAGGCTTCATGCGAATCTGTTGCCTAGAGCTAGGTCTAGGTCTTCACTCCATTGGAAATGTGTGGAGACGCGGGCTTCCGTAGCTCTGGAAGCCCGTTTTGGACACGGCCTTACTCTATGTGCAGTGCGTGGTTTAAACTTAAGTGACATCACACTTACGAACCGGATAGACCTTTTCACTAATCATTTCATCATTATGCCCGCATGCGCACAAATGGCATTGCCGGCAAGAAGTGTGACCGGGCCATTGAAAACGTACAGGGGTGCGAGAGAAAATGATTAAAGTCGCACCCCTGTACGTTTTCATGGCCCGCTCACACTTCTCGCCGCCAAGGCCATTTGTACAAATGCATGCATAACTATGAATTTATTCGGTGTAAACAGAATTTAGTCATTTTGACTAATAAAATATACTCTAGCCCTATGTTTAAATGACCAGGTCATTCGGAAGCGCGTGCGAGGTTGGCCAATCAGCGCGGCCCTTCGCGGACTCGCGCGCGTGCTTTGCTCTCGAATGACCTTGCTTTTTTGAAAAACATGGTTATCAAACTGACTCATTTCTGCTTCTGGACTTTAGGCTCTAAAGAACCCATCGATTTCTGTTTGACTCAAGCTATGTACATGACGACACTCTGGCTATTAACGATCTCAGCACCCATGATGTAAACTGTAGGAACCGCTCAGGCAACAACAGTCTCAAGTGTAAATAAATATCGTTTTAATGGCTGGCGACCAATTAATGTCATCTAACGGCAAAACAACCTGCCAGGCGTTGTTTTCTACGTGAAACGGTCCGTAACCTGAAGAAAGCGATAACTCAGCTGCAGGCCTGATCCGCAAGAAGTATCCGGACGCGATCCGGGGAAAGACAACCGACGGCGCGAAGCACAGTATCGATTCTTCCGTATTGAAACTCGGCTCACGCACCCAAAACCAATAGGAGACTGATCGAATGACATGTGTCGAGGAGAAGGTCAACATCCGATGAAAGTGAAGGGCGCTTCGAAAGGAATCCACGTCACGGGATGAAAAGGCAAGGAGAGTGATGCCGAATATCTTTTGGGAAAAAAAGGGGGCGGATGTTTCAGTTGCAGACATTTAACTTGTTTTCGTGTGAATGCATGGATAACCGTTTGTAGCGAAAAAGTTATCATGTGTTCTGTGCCTCCTTGTCAAAAAAGTCAAATCTGTTGAGAGCACAGAGAGAGGGCGTCATACAAGTAGGGGTCGAGGTCAGCTTAAAAACGAAAGCAAACGACGAGAATCTTGTATTTCAGGAAAAGATATATTTGACAGAATGATCAGTACCAAATCTTTTAACAGCGAAAAGGATTGAGGGTTACCATGAACCAGTGAACAGATCGATCCTGTGACGGTAATAACCTTTATGCATTGACGTCAACACCACTTCGACGACCAATCAAGCTGCACCACTTCTTCTGACGTCACAGGAAGTCATTTGTCCAACGGAGTGCGCTATAATTCCGTGAGTTTGAGCAAAGAGCGGCTTGTAGGTTGAACATATGCGAGTGAATCGATTTGTGTCTAGAGGGCGCTCTCTGTTTGTTCCAACCCCCCAAACGGCAGGCAGAATGCTCGAACACACCGAGAAATCACAGCACTCAACGTCGACAGCCAGCGCGGACATCGAAGAAATTCGGTGGTTATAGAATGTTGTAAATTGCAAAGTCAAAGGGCGTTCCATACAAGTTGTGAGAAAACACAGTCATCGTTCAGCACGGCTGCCTTATTATGGATGCCGAGAAATATAAAAATACAACTTCCGTGCCAACCGAGTACTTACAGTTAACCCACGGTATCGTCAAGGCCATCACAAAGGGCTCCATCTCCAAAATTACTTAACCCGGGCGACTGACCGCGCTATATATCGCCAATCCCTTTGATGAATTCTCCAGACGGGGTCGTTGTGTTTCACGGCAGGGCTTTTTAGAGTGCCGTGCGTTTGTCTTGGGGCTTGATAAAGAGCAGGGGTTGTTTACCCGGGGCGTGTGTGCAGAGGGTGGGATGAGAGCAAATACGGAGGCAAGGAAGAAAGGCACGGGCATTTCTCGAGATGTACAGGGGCGCCATGTACGGAGGCCCCGACCAGGTCTTTCTTGGTGAATTTCATTTCAAGGTGTGAACGTTTCTGCATTCGCTGGGGGGATTTTAATTTCAAATAAACATGCAAATATAAAACACAGCAAAGAAATTGACTGGAGTGGGATTCAAATCTGCGACCCTCAAAGTGAGATGCTTAATTCCTCTCAACGAATCAAAGGCATTGTCATTTGGGTTCTGAATGGGGAGAACTCTGCAGGCAACACACCACGTAAGTCTGGATGTATGAAATCGGGACAAGGAGCACAAAGCAGGCCTGCATATCATAAACTATCGCCATTGAAAGCACCAAATGGTCACCGTTAAAAACTTCCCATACAACGGGAGGTTTTGAGACGCATGGTGGCGGTAGACGCAACTGTCCATTTTGGTTGATGTGGGCATGCGCGTGCAGTTTTGGGCATGCTGCATGTTAGGTTCTGAGCACGTGCACAACCGTGGAAAAAGACCGGTTTGTCTGCCGCCACCATGCGTCTCAAAGTCTCCCATTATGTGCTTTTATTGGGATTTTGAAGTTAAGATGATATCAATATAATCACTGACTGTATAAATTCTGTGGTGGCTATAGTCATTTTAATCCTTTTCAAGCTTTCCGGTGTTGGGCTAATATAACAGTAACACAGACCGAAATTCTTCCTCACAAACAAGTGCATGATGACTTTGAGATTTGGCAGGCAATCAACCCTAGAAGACGGTAACTGTTCCATCAAAGAAGCCTGGCCAAACTCTGCCCGGATATCGGTACCGCTAAACGGAGGAGAAAGGTGACGGATTTATAGAAAGGTGTTGTCTAACAGAGCCAAATGGCCGTAGATGATTTCTGTAAAGAGAACGGTTCGGTTGAGAGGCACTTCGGTCGCATAATCCCCTTGTCACCAACTGATGGAAACCATTCTTGTATTTGGCAATAACCATTTCCCTCTTGTAGTTCGTGCCTCCAATACCACATCTCGGCTCCCCATACACTCGATCAATCGATGTAAGGCTTAAGGGACACGCCATATTCCGTATCTTAAGTATCAAAGTTCGCGTGGGCCAGCAACCTGGTCGTTACAATAAGTGGGTGGTGAAAATTGACGAAGCTGCAAAGCTTCGTTCTTGTTCACAACTTGTCTTTCTCGATCGAAATGTAGCATGCATGATTTCAATTTGGGTCTGCTTTTTTGCCACGAGAGGGCGCACTGGGCATATAAAAAAGGCACCTGGTTTATTATGCAAACATGGAAGCTAAAATCAAACGGTCCGATGCATTAATGAATAACACAATCTTAGACAAATTAGACAAAGATGGCCCGAGTGAGACCACGTCCTGGCCTCCGAAACTGAGAAACATTGGCGCGCTGGTAATGTCTCAAGCACTGTCTTCGTTGAACTTTCACTGAAGCAAAGACTTTTGTTCAAGTTTCTTGTGATCCGCAAAAGTCTTCAGTCGACGGGGTTCGGCACGTGAAATCGACTTGCAGTTTCTTTACTGAGAATTCTTACCCCACACAATGGGCAGGACAGACACAGGCTTATAAATTCAGTTTCCCTTAACCCAGAAGACGAAAACTCGATTATTTCTGTATTCGTTGGGCCCTCGTTGTTTTGTCTATCACAAATCTGTATGGCCTCCTACAGACGGTGCCGTGCCATGGCAAGAGCGTGGCAATAACAGCTCCCCGATTCTGTGGACTTCGGAATCTGCAATCCACTGTAAACAATCTGGTGTTGTTTTTCAGGGTAATGATTATGACGGACCACGAAGCCCGGGTTTGGATCACGAGAATGGAACATGATATTAACGATGCCATCAGGATGCGCATCACGGTGGGGTTGTTGGCCTCTACGACTGACGCACGACCGAACCTATAATCTCAGCTTAAAGGGCCAACCGAGCTGGGCCAATTTTTTTTTTGTTCGGAACACGATCTCTCGTCGACTTGCAAAGTCTGTTGAGAGAAGAGCGGTTAGTGGTCAATTGAACTGTTAGTTGGATTCTCATCAGGGTAATCTGTACTTCCTCAGGTTCGTGCTTGGAGCACGTTTTGCCTTCATTCTCAATGAGAATTTAAGAGTAGTCTCACATAAATAACTATTGCCACGCCAATACCAGGACCTTAAAGAGCTCAGAGAGAGACAACAGAGTTCTTCCGTCCTCAAAAACACTCTAAGGAATCAATTGACAATGCGGTCGAATGGCAAGAGTGCGTCTCCAAGAGTTTGCAACGTGTTGACCAATCACAGTGCGCGAAATCTGTCGACCCTTTCCAAACGCACATTGGGTCGACAGATATCGCGTGCTGTGACTGATCAACTCTTGGAGGCGCTCTGTTGTGAATCGCCCGTATTTCGAGTGAGGTACAAGACGTTTCGGCACACGAGAGCCGAAAGTTAGGAGTTTCAAAGACACGCATACTTGACCAACGACATGTATACCTAAACGTCAGATTGAACCGTCCTAGCTTTGAGCGAGCCAAAAACGAAGTCAAGAACATGAAAATCTGAGAAGACCGTTTTAGCCCCTCCCCCCCATTATGGAGGAAT